GTCCCGCCGGTACCACGCCTTCTCTTGGTCTCACGTGGTCCCCGACACTTTACCCCGCCGGTACCAGGTCTTCTCTTGGTCTCACGTGGTCCCCGACACTTTGTCCCGTCGGTACCACGTCTTCTCCTGGTCTCACGTGGTCCCCGGTACTTTGTCCTGCCGGTACCACGTCTTCTCTTGGTCTCACGTGGTCCCCGACACTTTGTTCTGCCGATACCACGTCTTCTCTTGGTCTCACGTGGTCCCCGATACTTGGTCCTGCCGGTACCACGTCTTCTCTTGGTCTCGCGTGGTCCCCGACGCTTTGTTCTGCCGGTACCACGTCTTCTCTTGGTCTCGCGTGGTCCCCGACACTTTGTTCTGCCGGTACCACGTCTTCTCTTGGCATTACTCGTCATTTTCCTAGCTTATTGCGGCCTCCTCCCCTTATTCCTTTCACATCCCGTGCACCGTTCCTCCCCAGACGCGGGTCCCTTTTTAGCCTGTGACCCTCTTGGCCCTTTTGCCGCTGCGTCCTAGTGCCCCCACCTGACTCGGCTACCTTTTCCCATGCCGGCGCCTTACGTCCTATCCTTTTCCACTTCTTTTCTCTCTTTGTAGCGTACATCCTATGTTACTACTATTCGTGACGGTCCTTCTCCGTGTTGGAGGAAGGATCGCCTTCGCTACATTCTTGCGGTCCTCTGCCGCCCCCTGTTCCATCAATTTCCCCTTAGTCCATGGGTTCGGCGACTTCGGACAGCTTCTAGCTCCCTAGTGCCCTGTGCCTATGTCTTGATCCTTCCATCCTTCTTGCCTCCGGTTTTCTTTGCCGTGCACAAATCGGCCATAGACAGTTATTCGAGTGATGGGAAGTCATTCGAGACTCACCAGTCCCGACATAGTCCCCCCACTCATTCGCGATGTCCTCATCGCGCACCAGTCCTTAGTCAGTGGGGATTTTTGGAGTGATAGACAAACGGAGAAGGGGGGGTGGGGTGAAATGGGTAGTTAGCTTGCCGGGGTTCTTTTTGTCCTTTCCCATTCTTTTCTCGGGGTTTTCCTTCAGTTTTCCGTCCTTTGGGGCGGAGGAGGGTATGGGGGAGTCAATGTTCCTCTTCGGCTTCCCTTTTCTCCCACAGCTTAGACCAAGTTGCTCATTTCCATCATAGACACGACCTTCCTCTTCAGTCAACTCTGTATACCCAGCAGGGTAGCCCATAATTGTTTCGACTTCAGTAACAGGAAGCAGACGAGGCTCTCCTCGCTTTATGCACTTAACTACTGACATTTTGGCTTTTATTCCCAGGACGACAATTTGATGTCATAACACAATTGGTTTTCTCATTATATGCCTTGGCATTGTTGATAACAAATTGTAGGCAAGTTTTCGGATGTGACTCAATGTCAGGCATTTGCTCTGGACGGGGGATGTTCGTCCAGTACAACCGCTGCCTTTGCTTGTGGTGATACCCACTTCGAGTCGATGAACATAGGCACAACTCTCCCTAAGTGCTTCGTAATCTCAAATTTATCTTCCCATTTCATTGAGAAAACATTCTCCGGTAGACACCATTTTGGCTTTATCCCCTTCATTGCTCTTAACACATCCCAAAATAATATAATTTTCGGCCCGTGCAATCCATGCTTCCCCTTTTCCCTTCCCCGAAGCTCGGGCTTTACCGAATCCACATACATTTCCCCCGGGTCATTTTACCCGGTCTTTCTTAGGTCTTGCCAATTCTGCATGCATCTGTCCTTTCTTGCCCTTTACTTAATTGACTTTCCATGTGCAATGCTCGGTTCATCCCTTGTGCATTTCTTTTCCAAACATCTTGTCAGACCTTTTTCTCAAGCCCATGCAAGCCAATCACACAGCCATTCCCCAGCCTGCCAGTCTTTTTCTCAAGTTCATGCAGAGTCAATCATACCAGCCCTTTCCTTCCTTGTTGTCTTGCTAGGCCCTTTTTCTCAAGTTTATACCATGTCACTTGCTCAAGTCCTTTCTGTCCTGGGCATCTTGCCAGACCCCCTTTTCTCAGGCCCATGCAAAACCAATTACAAGTCTTTTTTTTTTTTGGGTGTCTTGCCAGACCCCTTTTCTCAGGCCCATACAAAGCCAAATACAGGTCTTTTTCCATGCGTATTCATTGGTAGATGGCACACCTTCCCCCCACTCAAAACGCGATGTCCCCATCGCGCGACTGGTCCTCACTCAGAGGTACGAGACCTTTGGCCCACCAACCGCAAGTCAAGGACACAAGCCCATCCGCTTCACAAAAGGAAGAGTGATCAGTTCTTCCCCAGCGGCCGACGCCTCATCCTTCTACCCGGTCCGACCTTTTTTCTCTTACGTGGCGAGCACCAATACCGAGGTTCCTCCTTCCGTCTGGCAAGCAGGTCCAATCCAAGTTTTCCAGGGCCTCGTCTAATCGTAAGAGCGTTCCTTGCGAATCGTTCCTCCCGAGTGGTAATTTTTTGGATTCCGGCCTCTTCCTTTCAAGAGAGTTGGGGCTCTCAATTAGTCCGCGAGTGCAGTTACGAAGACCTCGCAATTAGTCCCGAAACGGTTGTAATGTTCTGGCAGGGCAGTGTTAATGCCCCGTGGTGGTGGCGGACTCCACTCGGTACCTCGCCCAACCTCTCCCCTTGGACAGTGCCGCCCAACTTAGCGCGGGAAGCCGTGGTCCGACCCAAACGGCCATACCACCCCTCTATGACATGGCGTGTGGTTGGAGAGTAGCAAAATAGACTAGATGAGAATGACTCTCTCGCCCATTTGGCTCTCTCGCCCTTTGACGTTTAGGCGTTCAACAGGAGGCGCAGTTTGAACTCCCCGACTAGAGCTCATTGTCGGAGGTGGTTCCGGACATCCCGCACCGATCCAAATGGTAGGTGCCTTAGTCCTTTAACCCTCATCCTCTCGAAGAGGAACAGGTCGCGCTGAGACTTTTTCCCTTAAAGGGATAGAGGTCTTGGGGTCGCGATGCCTGCACCGGCATCCCCCTCTTGCTGAGGCCAAAGACTAGAAGAAAAGAGAAATTACATTTCAATGCTCTTTCCAAGTTCATTTCAAGTTGCCTAGGCTCCCCTGTTTATGCAGTGCAATTTTCAATACTCAATCCAATTCCAATGCTCAGTCTCATTCTCATGCTCAATCTCAGTCCATTGCTCAATGCAATATCTCTTCCAGGGCTGAGTCCAATATCCTTTCCAAGGCTGAGTCCAATATTTTTTCCAAGCTCAGTTTTTCCAATGTCTTTTCCAAAGCTCAACTCTTCCAATATCATGCATCTCAAGCAGCCATGCAAGGGGACCCCAGTGCCTATTCCAAAAGAATAACCCTTGTCAGGGGCCATTCCGAACAACCTGGTTAGGGTCGTTCTTTCCAATTCCAAGTCGAAAAGCCTGGTTAGGGTCATTCTTATCCATTGCAATCGGACAGCCTGGTTAGGACCATCATTATCCATTCCAATTGGACAGCCTGGTTAGGGTCATCCTTGTCCGTTTCAATTGGACAGCCTGGTTAGCGCCATCCTTGTCCATTGCAATGTTAGCGTCCGAGGGGGTGGGTCTCGAGGACACGGATCCTATCTCGTCTCGGAGGTTAGAAGGCGGCCATCTTCTTGGGTTTTTACGCATGCTCCTTCCTCTTCCTTATACCATTTGCCATCCTTATGTCCATTCATACATCCGACTTAGCGTCTAGTACTCGAGTTGAGGGTCGCAACCTCAAGCAGCACTAGCCTGCCCGACCGTTCAACCATTGCAAAGGGTGTGTGTCCTCACTGTTTTCTCTTTCTCTAGTTCTCATGTGTCTTGCTGTTCTGGACTGATGTGGGACTTGTTGGATTAGGCTCCTAGGGAAGAATGTTCTTCACGCCTCTTTACCCATAGGTCCCTTAACCTCTCACAAGGACTCATGTGATGACTCATTCAACCAAGGATACACACTTTTCAAAAAAAAAAAATTATGCCATCGACTTTTCTTCCAATCTTCAACAGTTCCCATACCCTCGTCCATCTCTCAGAGTCAATCATCCCCAGTTCCTTTCTTACTACGAAAAATGCTCTTATTTTCTCAAAGGAGCGGGTACTTATAGAGAGTAGCACTAACTACTCATCCCTTGCTAACTTTCCCAGTCCAAGGAGTTGTTCTGTTGCAGTCCTTCAAAAAGGCAGGAGACAAAGTTCGAATGCAAAAGATAACATTACAGACTTGTCTCATCTAGACCCCAGTCCTTCATAGTCCGAGTCTCAACTCATCAACCCACATGTCCTTCTGAAGAAGCCACTACTATTGGAAAGTAGCACTAGTTACCCAGTCTTTGGTCAATCTTAATCAAAAAGTTGTTCCGTCGTAGCCCATTTTTCGGAAGTTCAGATGCAAAATTCAGAATGGCAGTTCTGCCTGCCCAGGTACCAGTCCTCCCCCCAATTTCTAGTTAACCCCCATTATGCTTACTATCCCTTTACTGTCTAGCTGCCCTGCGTCGAGCCTCCCTTGCACGATCCTCAATCTCTTGTTGCATTTGTCTCTTTATTCTCTGCAATGGAAGGAGCGTCTCCTCTCAGAAGAAGGTTGTTGGGGATATGTCCTCTCCCCTGCTCAACTTTTCTTTCCCTTTCATTGCCCATTGATATCGCAAGATACTGGCCCATTGATCGAACCAGTCGCTGAAGGTCGGCCTGAACTATGTTATCCATTTGTCCTTATCTTCCCCCGGATTCTCCTTTCTTCCCCGTACTTCCCTTGTGGGTGTTGTTACTTCATCTTCGTCCTCCTTGCTGTTGAGGTCTATGACCTTAATCGGCTCCTCCTCCCCCAACCTCTGTCTTTTCCCCGGGTTCGCCTCTTCCTCACTACTAGTATCATTGTCAGATGGCAGTACTATTGGCTCCCCCTCTCTGGGAGGTGACGGTCCCCGAGTCCCTTGCTTTCTCCCACCTCTGTTTATGACCAGATTGTGATCAAACCCCACATACAGCTTCCTCTTCTTGGAGCTTGATTCCCGGCCTGTCTTGTCGGCTGCTGTTCATTAGGGCGGTTGATAGAGTTGCTGTCGTTCTCATTTCCAAACTCCATTTAATCTTTTCTTGTTGTTCTTCTTGTTCCTTGGTCCTGTCCATCCATAACAGTCATCGCATCCCCTCATACGTACACATTCTCTCCCACCCCCATTTGCAGATTTGCAGGCCTTCCCGGAACCCTTGCTTGCCCCCGTGTAATTGGCGATCCCATCATCCCTTAGATCCCTCGGCATATTGTCCCAACACATAGGTGCCTCATGTAGGCAGTCCACAGCATCACCCCACAAAAACTATGGTACATTGTCCCGGCACATAGATACCTCGTGTAGACAGTCCCCAGAGTTGCCCCACAAAAACTATAATACACTGTCCCGTGCTCCCAAGCCCAGTCATAGTCAGCCAGTCAGTCTCCCTACATTCCATTAAGATTAAGACACTCAAACGAACAATCCTTGTGGTCATGATCACTTCCAAAGGGAGGCGGTCCAGAACTATAGCCAGCTGCCTGCCTTTCAAGCTGTCAATTCCCCTATTTCCCTGTCCTGGGCTTCTTGTAACCATTGTTCCACAGGATCCCTGCTCAAAAACCTGACCAGCCTCTGTCCCGGAAATGACCCTCTTATACTAGTACCATCAAGATCCTCAAGTTCGAACGTGTTCAATCCCACCCGCTTAGCGATCCTGTAGGGCCCTTTGAACCTCTTCCCCAGCTGCCCAGACCACGTGCTCTCAAGGGCCGAGTTCCTAACTAGCACCTTTTCCCCTACTTGGAGTGGTTCTTTCCGGATATTCTTCACCTGGTCCCATCTTGCTTTGTCCCTCATTCGGCTATCCATCACGCACTTGACCACTTCTTCCAAGGCTTCCTCATTTCTAACGACCTGCTGGCATCGTGCGACAATTAATTCTTGAGTAGACAGACGTGGATTGTCATCTAGCCTATTCCAGGTGGGGACTAAGGCTTCCACCGAAAAATCAATCTCCCTCCCATACCAAAGTTCTGCCGGAATGTACCCTGTCGTCCTTTTCGGTGTCATGTTTTCTGAGAAAACTGCCTGCTTAAGGAACCGTGGCCACTTTCCCAAATCATTCATTGCCAGCTTGGCGATTGTGTTCTTCAAAGTCCGGTGCCCCCTTTCTACTGGTGCATTTGCCTCAGGGTGATATGGCTCAATGATCTTGATGGGTACGCATAAGGTCTTAAGCCTGCTCAATACCTCCTGATTGATGAACTCCGTCCCATTGTCTGCTATGAACCTGCGCACAAAGGGGTGTCTTAGGTAGAAGTCCTCTATCCAATCGGCCACTCCCTTCCCTGTCTTTCTCTTGAGTGTTACCGCCTCTACGTAGCCACTGAGGTTATCCCTTGCATCCAGGATGTACCTGTATCCATCCGTTGACACCGGCATAACCGCAAGGTCGAGGTGGACTAAGTGCCCCGGTCCTAGTACCCGGGTAGGTCTAAGGGGCCCGAAGACACGTGCGGAACTCCTTTCCTGGCATATCAGGTATGTCTGGCAGTATGTTGCCACCATACCTGCCATACCTGGCCAGAAGTAGAGTGGTGCGATTTTCGCAAGGGTCCCTTTGGATGACCTATGCCCTCCAGCTAGTCCATCGTGCATTGCCTGGATTATGTCTAACTGCCTAGACCTTCCGCACACGACTCGTCTAGGCATCATCCCCTCTTCCTTCTTGAACAGGTGGTCGTTCCTTAAAACATACTTTTCGGCTTCCTCCCTTGCCTTGGGGCTGACTTCCGTAGGCTGCTTGTTTCCTATAAGCAGTAGGCCGATTTCCCTGAAGACGCCCTCATACATCTGTATGAGAAAGAATTCTCGTTCCTTCTGGTCGGTATCCTGCTCCTCCTGAGCCTGATTCACCAGGTACTGCAGTTCCCTTTGCGTCCAGGATTCTACCAAGCTTATCACAGCATCCCGACCCCCTTCAACAGCCATTGCCATCAGCTCTTCCTTCGGCCCAATCACTACTCCCCATGAATCCTTCTCGTCCTTGGGCCTAAACCTAGTGACCGGTCCTTCCCTGAGTTCCGCAACTACCTCCGGCACGCCTTTTTCCAGAGTCTGGATCAACAGCTGACCCGTTGTCGGCACGATGTCCGCCATTTCGTTATCCACGACAAGGGTTCCTCCTTCGTGTTCCAGGAAGGCGTCAATTGGCTCTGCGTCCTCTATCCCTTCCGGCGTGATACACACCCTACTCAGCCCATCTGCCCTGTTTCGGAGGCCCGCAATTCGATCGACCTTGTAGTCGAATTGCCATATGAAGCCTATCCATCTCTCGACGGTTGGGTCTATAGGCTTATAGTTCTTTAGTGCCCTGGCGACGTTGGTTGGATCGATCCTCAGGATAAACCGCCTCCCGAACAGGTATGCCTGAAAGGTCTTAAGGCAATGCAGGATCGCTAAGACCTCTTTCTTGAACTGTGAGTACCGTCGTTCCGCCGAATTCAAGGTCATACTTTCAAATCTGATTGGTTTTTCCTTACCCTCCTCGCTTTTCTGTATCAATACCCCTCCTACTGCCAGCAGTCCCCCATCTGTTTCTAAGATAAAGGGCCGCCCTACTTCGTCATTGAAGCAGGTTGCCGCTAAGGTAACCTGATCGGACGACAGGATGTCTTTGAGGGTCTGGGCTGCTGCTTCCCTGTCCTCGGGCCATTCCATAGTGCCGCCTTCCCTGATCATTGCGCAGATAGGCTCTGCTATCTTTGCGAACCCTTTGATGAAGATCCTCCAGAATCCGACCACCCCTAGAAAGGCACGTACTTCCATCGTGGTGCGCAGGGGCGTCGGCCATTGAGAGATCTTATTAGTTTTTGCCGGGTCAGGCTTCCTTCCATAGGCCCCATATCGAAACCCCAGTATGGTCACTTCCGGGACGGCCAGAATGCTCTTTGGTCCACTTGCGGTAATGTTATAAACCAAGAATCGCTGGAGTAGATCCTTGATGTCCTGTAGGAGATCCCAGACGAACTTCTGTACGCCCGGCTCGACCTCCATCTCATCTTTGTCTCGTGCACCCTTTATGGGATTATCGTCTATATATGGCTCGCATTTTTCCGGGAACATGTCCCCTGCTACGACGAGCATCCTCCTTTGTGCTTCTGCCACCGCGTTCGTGAAACCCATAGGGGTCACTTGCATCTGCAACTGCCCTACCGGTGTGTGCATGGCGGTGTACGGCCTATCCCTCGCGTCAAGCGGCAGTTGGTCGTAACCTGAATACAGATCTATTAAGGAGTAAATGCTTCGCCCAGCGTGGGATTCTGCCAGTAAATCAGCGTGTGGGAGCGACCCCGCATCCCGGATCGTTACCGCATTTAGCTTCTGCAAGTCCTGAATCCATCTGAGCGTCTTATTGGGTTTTCAGAAGACGAACCACTTGCTCGCATAGGGGGATGCGGTGGGTTCGGCCACAAATGAATCTATCTTGGCCCTAAGTAATTCAGTGACTTCCGCCGCTATTCCAAACTCATAGGCAGGCCCTTTATCGTTTCAACACTCATGCTCAACCGTGTGGATCCTAACGGGGGAAATTAATTTTGCATCCAACCGGCCCTTCTGGTGGTCATTGAAAGCGAAGGCTAGATGAAACTCCTAGCACGCCCTTCTTATCAACCGAGTCTCGTTCTCTGTTAGGAACCCATCCACTCCGATTTTCATGGTGTCTGCCACCTCATAAGGTATCCGATGCCCCTCCGTTGCTCGCCTTTCCTTTATTATCCGCAGGATTTCTTCCTCTTTTTCCATGACCTCTTCCCTTGATGTTTCTACTAGGATCGAGACCGGCTTGGCCTTCTTTCCTACGGGATTGTATTTTCGCACAGTTCCTTCTGGGATCGTTCTCCTAAAAAATGAACGGTCGGGATTGGCCTTGCTACCTCCATGATGCGGGGCTGGATGCTAACTATCTTTCCATTCAGGCAGTAGCCCTTTCGGACCTCATCCTCGAACTTGGCAAGTGTTGTCGGGTCCCCCCCCACTTTGTGGTACCTGATCGCCTTAACAAGTTGCAACAAGTCTGGGATTTCGAGTGCTAGCTCGGGGGTCTCGTTACGACCTTCCTTTGATTTAGGCAGGTTGACCCCGAGTTCAACTTCCAGCTCCTTTTCCACCACCATGACCCCAGGAGCTCGTCCTCTGGCCTCCTCTTTTTCACGGGCAGACCCATCTTGATCCACTCCTTTTTACTAAGAGTCTCCTCAATCATGATTTCTACTCTCTCCCTCATACCTTCCATCCGTGCGAATGCCCCCTTCCGCGCACTCTCTTCGAATGTTGGCGACCAGGTTGCCAATTTGCCCTTTGGAGGGTCCCCTCCGGTCCCAAGAAGTCGGGGGAGTTCTCCGCGGCCGGTCACTGGGTCCTTTATGTCTACCATGTATGTGCCGTCATGCAGGTGCATTCCTATCATTTCTACATTGGCGCACCACGGTCTCCCGAGGATTATGTCATGATCCATTTCTTCCATCATGGTCATCCGCTGAAAGGACCAGATGGATTACCGGATTCCCACCATGACTGCACATTTGGTGATATACCCTGTGAAAGGAATTTCACCACCGGTTCCCCGGATACTCCCTGTTACTTCCTTGTTTACCGTGCACCCCGTGACTGTTGCGAAATCTCGTCGTATGAGGGCGATTTCTGCACCGTCGTCCACTAACGCGTCAGTGTGGTGAATTCCGATTTGGAATTTAAGTTTCCCTACAGGTAATGTATGAAAACTAAGCTTTGTCCCGGGTGGCGCCCTCATAGCTTCGCCACCTTCATGATCCGGTAGGCTTAGGCGGATGTCCGCAAAAGCTTTCTCCAAATCGTCCAGATCCCCGAGAATTCTTTGGAGGTTGGAGACGCCTTGGGGTGCCTCTGCCTCTTCCATCTCTTGCTCCTGCGGTTCCGGGGCCTCCTCTACCTCTACATGCTTACGCGTTAGCAACTGCCTGAGTCCTTTAAGCAGTCTTGGGCTGGCTTGCAACATGGTCTGGAAGGACACTGATACCATGGTACCCGACAGCTTACTCAGGGTGCCATCGATTTCAGGCGAAGTCAGGATTGAAATTTGATACCTGAACTTCTTCTTTGCCCCCGTAACTTTGTCTACCGGTTCCTCCTCCCTTGCTTTCCCATAGACCTTCTCTTGTTCCCCGACTTCGGTCTCTTGCTGGTTTGCGCTAGTCCTTGTGAGTTCTTCCATTACTGTATCTTGAATAAGGCTTTTTTCTGCGTCGGCCCGTCGAGTGGTGATATTTACCCTATCCTGCCCATTGCCTTCTAGGATAAAATTAGCCTGTGGTCCGCGTCCCCTTGGTTGGTCCCACATAATCTCGGCTACCGGCTCTGCTTCTACGACAGTTATCTCTAAGTTATTCAGGAGGATGACGACTCGCCGCATCCCTCCTGGCGAGTTCCAATTTACACGCTCCCCCAAGGGTCCGAGAATCTCGCCTTTGAGGGACTTGTTGCACCTCTGCCACTCAATATCGTGATTGAGTCTTGGGCAAGCCCTCACGAAATGTCCGACCATTGTGCAGTACTTGCACCGTTCGTTGGCCGGATCCCCCTCTGCCAAATCCCCGATTAGCTACAGCTGCCGGAACTACGGCCTCTTGGGGTGGGAGGGCGGGTCTGGACACTTGCGCCTGCATTACTAGTAATGTATTCTCCACTCTTTCTATCTTACTATCAACCCCGTGCACTCATGCAAGCTTTCTATCCCCTTCTTGACCTTATCCCCCGTCTTCCCGGTCAGGTCTATAACCTCCCCTTTCTTAAGCAGGGCCAGGGTCTCAGTTACCACTGTCTTCTCTTCAAGATCTGTTACCGTACTGAAATCCACATCCCTTGTGTATTCAAACTTACTGGTTTGCTGGTAGGCCGACAGAATCTTATCTTTGTCGAACTCGGAGAACTGCCTAAGGAAGTACTTGCTCATTATACGATCCGTTACCCCGGGGATTCGCAGTGCCACTAGAGTGAACGCCCTCAGAAAGTCATTGTAAGTAGCATAGTTTTTCCTTTGGACTGCCGCCAATTCAGCCTCTGTCGCCATTTTCTCCGCTTTCAGGTACTTTCTCATCATCACATTCCGGGTTTCCTTCTAGGATCCACTAGAGGAGACGATAGCCGTAATGTCCCTTCCTAAGCTCAACGATACGTGCTGCCCTAGGTGGTCCATCTTTTCTTCCTCAGTCTATTTTAGTAAGGCTGTCCGGTTCTCGTAATCTATCAGGAATTCCGTGATGTTTGCCCATCGAAAGTGAGTTTCTTCTTTGCGTCTGCGAGATACCCCTGATTCTTATTCAGAGCCCGGGTGAGGGTGACTACTATCCTTTTAAGTCCCTCTTCAGAGCTACCCGCCTCACCGACCACACTATTCCCCTCTCCTTCCCTGCCTTCCTTGTGTTTTTCCCCGGTTTTAGTTGTTCCCTCCGGATCAAACCAGCCTAACACCCTCTCTCTGAGACTCCAGAGTCCATCACATCCCTTTGTTGCTTTGGGCGTGGTGGGCAGACGACTAGCGCCGCTGTCGATAGTCGGCGGGGTCGTGGCCTTTTCTGCCTCTATAGCCAGGGAGTCCCCCTTTTCCTTCCCCTTCTTGTTGGGTGTTCCCTTATGGCCATTATCTTTTGCTCCGTACCTGGCTTTGCCCTGACTGGTCCTGCGTCCCTCTCGTGACCCTTCCCCCTAGGGATCCTCTTCATTCCAAACCATCATTTGTTCAATAAGTCGCGCCTTGTATTCTGCGGTCCGCCTTTCTATTTCCGCCAATTTGCGGCGTGCATCCGAGACTTTCATTTTTTTGGGCGTGGTTCCTCCGGAGTTCCAAGGACTCACCCTTTCGTCGTCCCTCCCTTCCCTATTCTCCTACGGTCCCCTTTTGCTACCCCCAACTTTTCCTGAACTTTCCCCTGTGGAGAGGCCCTTCCCTTCTTCTCTGATCCCTCCTGGCTTTGCTGATTCCTGATCCGACCCCTCGTTCTGTTCCTCATCCCTATTCGTACCCTGACTCCCTCTGCTCTGCTGGTTGTCGTCCTGTTCTTGCGACGCCATTTTTTTACCTAGCCTGCACATGGGAATTTTTTTTTGCGAAAAATGGTCAGTTGTTCATGGCTTCCCTAGTTCTAGCCCTAAAACCCGGTTGTTTCCATGCCTTTTTCCGTCTTTCATAAGTCGGGACGACACTCCTGACTTTTCTTTCACAGGACACCATTCAGATTTTCTTCCGCCGGGGGACTTGCTGCCGAGGTCTGGCATTTTGTCGTCGCCCTGCCTCGGCTCTTAGGGCGGTGTCTGAGCCCAGTGGCCTTCCCCTTGAGGATAGCCCTTTCGGCTTTCTGACACACAAATGCCCCGGCGTTCCTGATGCGGGTGGTCTTCCTAGTTCTTTCCTACAGCATCGTCAGGTAGGGCGGAACTCCAACCAGTGCCCCCCCTTTTGCTAATGGCTACCTTCTCATCTTAATACCCATCCTTTAATTTTCCCATCTTCCCCTGGCGCCTCTTCTCACGCTAGTCCCTCAGGCCTGCCCTGTTTGTCCGGTTCCTCGAACAAGTCTGCCACCCCGGCAAGGTAATTTTCTCCCATCTATATTTCCCTGACGATTATGGGCTCGTATTCCTCAAACGACAAGCGGGCAATCCGAATATCAAGATTTCGATGAGTTCAAGCAATTCCCAGGCCTGATTTCCCCAAAACGGCCCATGTCTAACCGACACATCATAGAACATGCCCGTTGTCTGCGGCCGGAAGTGGTGGATCCAGACCAGGGTCGAGTCCACCAGATCCTTTGCCCTTGGGAGACTGCCGAATACCAGGTCTACCATGAAGCGAGGCACTCGACATCTCAACCCTGTCATTGGGGCCTTAAACTCTCGCCAACCTCCTACCTCCACCCGGGTTCTCAATCCCACGTTCCTTCTTCCCCGCACTTCCTGACCTACTCGGTTCAATATCCTAGTAGCCCTCTGGAAGATTGGTAACAGCCCATGCCCAAGCGCCAACTCCGTTCCTAGCATGTGCCATCCAAGCTCCGGTAGGTATACGGTCCCCGTCACCCTAAGATCCGTGTATAGATCGTCCCCGGGTACCCTATTAATCCTCATACCATCCCACAAGCATTCCACCATCATGAACGTCTGGTCCCTTCCCAAGGTTACGGCTCTCCATTCGGTATCGATCCCTCGGACCCTGTAGCTTGCTGGGAGCGATACCTCCCATCCATCTCCGCTTTCCGTGGGGGGTCGGGGGTGCGTGGGCCGTCGCGACATCCAGGCGCGTCTCATCGCCATTTCGATTTTCCCTGCACAGTTTAAACAGCAAGCGAGTTTGCTTATTTCATTTATTTTTCAGCCCTTACCTGAGCGACTCCCTGGTCCTTAGCTTGACGCTTCCTTTCCTCCCTATCCCCTTCCCTTCTTTCCTTGGCTCTCTCACCGGCCTGTTCCTGCTTCCGTCGGCTCATACAATCGATGCAGCTCATCCACGTACGCCATCCCCCGACTCATTTCTCGTCGGACAACGCCCCACAAAACCTCATTGCTAACAGTCGGAGCCCTCGGCCTAGTGGTAAACACGGCGTGCAGGATTCGCAACACTTCATACCTCTAATCTCCACCAAACGGCCCCATTTCTAGGAAGGCTCAATAATATTCTCGGTGCACCAACGTGTCTTCGTATGTTAAACTAGCGAGATCAGCAACCGCCCGCCTAACAAGCTCCAAACCGCCTAGCCGCTCTAACAAGAAGGGCGACAGTCTCATCCGAATATTTTCGCTAGGCAATTCAAAACTTCCGGCCCTAGCTACCCTGAGGTCTGCCGTTACATCATCAAATCCCGAATCTGCGAACTCAAATCCCGCCTCCCATACTAACTGCCATGCCCCTTCGATTATACTCAATGGATCTTCCCCTGATGCCAACAGAACCCCGAACTCGCGCCACCCATCCTCGGACACATACAATCGTCCGTCTGCACACACATGCCCCCGCGGGTTGGGGTTCCATTCCGCATGCTCATCCGCACGCCACTCGACCCTTGTTACCAGGTAAACCATATTTTCCATAAGCTCAACCCCGACCCAATCCGCCACCGGGTGCCACCCTTCGCTCACAACCGGCAGACTAACTTCTATCCCACCCTCTACTTCCCTAGGTGGCTCAATGCCTAGGGGGCGATCTTCAAGAAACGTCCTCCTTCGTGCCATCGCGTGCTCGTCCTTGGTTTTCTAGCCCACAATTCGCACCGAACCCTACAATGGCCAGACATTCCATTCCCTTGTCTTAGCAATTCTCCCATACTTGTCTGGCCCCACATCCTTTTCTGCTCTTAGTCAAACCATAGTACCTCGAACAGCTTAAACACATCATCTACATAGCAGGGTGTGGCGGCTACCTCGTGGTGAATTATAGCCTCCCTGGTTTTCTGGGCCACTTCCATCCGGTCATTCCTTTCGATGTCCAAAATGATGAGGACCTCCCAGGCTCTATCGCCATGGAACGGCGCATATTTCAGAGATGTTTTATAGAACTCTTCTGTTAGCCAAGCGCAATTCACGTGCACCCACCCCATAGTGCTGGCTACTTCCTCGACATGGTCAAAACCCCCAAACCAATCTGCTACGAACTCGGGTACCCAGGTCTTAATTCGTTGGCAGGGGGGCCTAAATTCCTTCCATCCTCCCATCACGACTCTACTACTGACCGCGTCCCATCCTTTGTTGGCAAATTTCTCGCCCGCCCGTCGAGCCCTTGCCTCAGCATCCCCTAAAAGCCACATCGGGTTCTGCCCTGCTGCGAGCGTTGTGCATAACAGGTGCCAACCCTGTTCCGACAGAACGACCGTCCCGACCGATTTCACCCTTCCTTCCGCAATCTCCTCCCATCCTTCATCTTCCCTTAGTGGGTTCCAGACGCGTTCTACCCATAGGTACGATAGGTCGGGCACAATTTCAGACCCTACCCAATCACACGTGGTTCCTCTTCATTTGTCATCTGCAGGTATAGACATTTCTACTCCCCCTCCAACCTGTCTCGGTTCCCATCCCTTGGGCGTACAGTCCCACAGCTCGCGCTCCCGGGCCATCGCTCTCTACCTGCACATAGTCGACAACCCATTCCTGGGTAAGTCCCCACCCCCCTTTTCAGAAGTCTCAGTCCTCTATCTCGTCCCCATCCTCATCATCACTGAAATCCTCCTCCCCATCCGAGAACAGCTCTTTCAATCCTTCTAAGAAGGTTTCACCTGCCGCCACATTCCGATAGATTATTCGCCAATGCACCATGCTAGGAACAAAGACGTCATCCTCGCTGAGGAGGTTTAATACCTCAGCTAGCTCCTCCGCCCAGTTCCCTTCAAACGACCCTGCCTCTACTGACAATCTAAAGAAATCCTGCCGAGCACACTGGTACAGCCTCAAGCGTGTCATCGACCGGCATATTTGCTCTAGCCTGTCCCTGGTTCCGAAGACTGCGTCCACAAGGAACGGGGGTAGTACACATCTCATTGTCCTAAGGGGCCGTCTCATGTTTCCTCTGTCCCCGAGTTCCACTCGCAC